ATGGATGGGTGGATGGATGAGTGGGTGGATGGATGGATGGGTGGATGGATGGATGGGTGGGTGGGTGGATGGATGGGTGGGTGGATGGATGGATGGATGGGTGGATGGATGGATTGGTGGATGGATGAGTGGGTGGATGGATGGATGGGTGGATGGATGGATGGATGAGTGGGAGTGTGGGTGGATGCATGATGGATGGATGAGTGGGTGGATGGGTGGTTGGATGGATGGATGGATGGATGAGTGGGTGGATGGGTGGGTGGATGGATGGAGGGATGGATGGATGGATAGAGCAGGGCTCCAGATGTTTGGAGCACACCCCACCCCAAGGTGTGAGAACAGAATTATGTTCCACCATTACCTGGTGTCTCCTCACTGTAGGCAGGTGCTTCCAGCCTCTTTCCATGCATTCCACAACCTGGTTGAAGCTGCTCTTATGGAACTGGGAAGCCAGGCCAAGGAACACTGTCTCAGAAAAGAATGTGCCCTGTGCCATTTTCCTCAGGTTCTGAAATCCCCCAAGACAGACACCCTTAAAGAGCCTTAGCTGGGTGTGATGGTGCAGGCCTGTGTTGCCAGCTCTGGGTGGCTGAGGCTGGAGACTCTCAAGCTTGAGTCCAGCCTCAGTAAATTAGTGAGACCCTGTGTCAGAAAAAAAAGTACAGGGATGTTGGCTGCTGGTTTCACAAATTCCCAGTGATGAATGTGATCCTAATGTACACCTAAAATGTACTGATAAACTTAATTTTTTAAAAAGTGAAGGCACTGGGGAGGTTGTTCACTGGGAAGGTCCTGTCCTGGGTTCAATCCCCAGTACCAAAACAAGGACAGGTAGCTGTGTTGCCTTCACTGTAAACGCAAGAGCGTTTGAACTTCTTTATACTTTCTAAAAAAGTGTATGAGGATTGGGAGGCTGGGGGAGGGACACGAGGAGAGGAATAACAAGTCTGAATTCTTATTTAAAATATTATCTTTGTTTGCATGATCTGAAAAATTTTCTGTTTCATTGTTCAGTAATAAACTTTGGCTTATATCTGTTAGATTACACAGAGTCTGCCAAAAAATGTCTACACACTCCAGGGAAAGAAAAATAGCAAATATCTGGATGCTCATGACCACCGCCTTGAGCACCTCTTGTCATTTGGGAGAGGCCAAAGGTCACTTGTTAACTTTAATTAATTTCATGATGTCTCAATAAATTCAGTGTTGAAATATTTAGAGAGGTTTGAGTCTCCTCTGAATGGTCACTAGGGACATCGTAGCCCTCTAAATGTGAGGAAGCCCACATGGATGTTCACATAGCCATAAAATCTATAAAACGCCTCTCTCAGAAATTATTCCCACTGTTGGTCTGTGTATGAATCTATATATACTTAGATACAGAAAAAGGGATTACATATACTGCAGTATTATATCTTATGAATCAATAGAAAATGATTTATGAGAGCAATGTCTTATATATAGTCTATCTTTGAGCAAAATGTCCTTGTTAGATGTGACTGTATCTAGCCATCTATGTATCTATCCTATTATGTTCCTATCCATTTATTGATCCATCAGTTCACCCATCCATCCACCCATCCATCTGTGCATTGCTTTATGTATCTGTTGATCTACCTCTCCATCTATCCATTCAACCTTCCATCCACCCATTCACCCATCAATCCATTTATCTATCATCTATCTACTGTGTATCTTCATCCTTGCATTGATTGTTCACTCCTTCAGTTTATCCATTTACCCATCATCTCTCCATCCACCTGTCTATCCATCCACAGATCCAATCATTATTCTATCTATCTATCTATCTATCTATCTATCTATCATCTTATTCTATTCTGTTTCTATCCATTCACTGATCCATTAGTTCACCCATCCATTGGTCCAATGGTCTATCTATTGATATATCTACCTATCCATCCATCATTCATGCATCCAATTATTTTTCTATAATCTATCTATTCTGTCTCTGTCCATCCATCAATTGATCAGCTCATTGATCCATCCATCCACCCACCTGTGCAACCACCCATCCATCTGTCCATCCATCTACCTCCCTCCCCCTGGTGTTGCCATGCCAACCTGGGGTAGGCATATTTTATTAATGAGAAAAGAACATATTGATGCTATGTGTAGTAGCAAAGGTGCAAAGGACATGTGACTAACTATATATCCCAAAAGGTGTGTTTTTACTATAATGCATATGAATGGTGTATCATATTATGTTACACTCATTATCAAAATAGCTTGTACAGACCTGTGTGTGTATCTGTGCACAAAGCCTACCTCCTATAAGAAGTACACATATGTCAGCAAGAGAATTGGCAACATGGGTGTGACAATTTCCATCCTTTGCTATGTCTGCTTGGTGCTGGAGATTGAACCTCAGGTGCCCACACAGAGCTACACCCTTAGTCTTTTTTTTTTTTCTTAATTTTTATTCTGAGACAGAGTTTCACTAAGTTGCTCTCACTGGGCTAGAAATTGTGATCCTCCTGCCTCAGCCTCCCAGAGTGCTGGGAATACAGGTGTGTACCACCATACCCAGGTAGAGTTTCCATTGTTTGAGGCAGGGGACAGGAAGCTCACTGAGGTGAATAGACGCATTTGATTGTCCTGGGTAAACCATTCATGATGCTCTTCCTGTGTCTCCCAGTGACAGGTTTGTGGCATGAAGATCGTGTTATAGTGGCTCCCTACCTAGGTGTTGGTGATGGCAACACGAAAGCCATAAATGTGGTCCAGGGAACCTAAGAGCTCCTTATGAGCAAAGATGGTGCTGATGGGACAAAGCGGCTTTGGATCCTGTCCAGACCAGAGCATACTTCTGCACTGAGCCTTCTTTCATTTTCCCTGGAAGAGACCCTGTGTTGTGTTCTCTTTGTCAATTGTGTTCCTGAGAGACGAACATAAAAGTCATTCTATGATTGTCCAGAGTAGGAATATTTTCCACTCCACCTCGTGAAAGTTCCTATGTTGTTCTCAAAGATTTCGTATGAACTTCACTGTGTCACTTGGCTGAGGGGCTTATTTATGTTTATATTCCACACCCCATCCCACCATCTCAAGATGGTTTCTAAAATCACTAGACTTTATTTTTGGGGGGCTCAAAAGTAACCTAGGAGGCCCTGGTTGAAGAAGTGATTCTCAACACTTGTCTGGTGTGGAGCTACTGACTATTCCACACTCCCCTCTTCCTTGCTCCTTAAGGAGAATCAGCAGATGACCCGAGAAACCCTTTAGCTGGTTCCTGCAGGTCACCACAACTGGGTAGAACTCACCTTTCTAGTGCTGCTCATTGGCTCCAAACAAGGAATCCAGTTTTCCATCTTTTCAAGCCAAATCTAATTCTAATTATGGACTTGCAAGCTAGCCAGATCTTCTCTTCCCTCTCCTCATAATTCCTTCATGCCCTAAGAGAGAACAGAAAATATTCCTCACCTCCTGTGTTGCCATTTCTATTTCCACTTACCAGTTTGTGCCTGTTGTTTAGTATGAGCCTTCTCCAGGCTTCTTGGGAGTTGTGTAATCTGAGCTTCAATGCAGGTTTATTCTGCACTGCAGAAAAACAAAGTATCAGCCAGTGCTTTGTGAGGCCAAAGCAGGAGGACGGCAAGTTTGAGCCTAGCCAGGGGAACTTAGCAAGATGTGATCTCAAGGAGGATAAATAAATAAGTACATAAATGAGCATCAAAGAGGGCTAGGGATGTAGTACAGGGCAAAGGCCTTGGCTTTGATTCCCAGTACCCACAAAAAAGTCTGTAACTCTGCAGCATTAAAGTGCACACAATATCTCCTGTCTTCAGGCCACCATCTTTTTTATTATTCTCGAATTCATGACTTGTGCTCTAGAGGTTGACAGCCAGGGTTTGCATTCCAGGAAAGGCAGCATGTCATCAAGGATCACTTCTCCAATTTCAGGGAGAAGACTGCAGACACAGAGGCGCTGTCCCATTTGCTCTTCCATGCCACTGTGCAGTGGGACGGGTCGGGTGGACTCAGCTCTGTCTCTCTGTTTGCAGGTGGCAGAGGCATGGGTGGCTGGGAAGGGGGCATCCGTGTGCCCGGGATCTTCCGCTGGCCGGCCGTGCTGGAGGCGGGCAAGGTCATCCATGGGGCCACCAGCCTGATGGACATCTTCCCCACGCTGGCCTACATAGGCGGGGCCATGCTGCCCCAGGACAGGTATGGACCCCAGCGTGCTTGGTCCCAATGGGACGGTTTTATGTGGCAGCCTGTGCATGCTCAACCATTCCGTGTGCGTGTGTGTGTGTGGTATTGATTGACTATCAATGCTTTGCCCAAGGGAATATTGGTCACCCCCGGTGCATGCATTGTCAAAGTGTTTCTTTTCCTGTTAGAAAATCTCTTACCACTCACCGATGCTCATTAACAACATCTATACACACACCTCCCTGACTGCAGTCTGAACCTGCTTCGTTTTGACTCCCTTCTCTACTTCTAGACCATCAGTTAGATACAGCCTGCCTCTGTCTGCATCTGATATCTGCAGATTTGAGGAACACTGGGTAGGAAACACTCGAAAAGGCAGCAAAGTGCATCTGCACAGAGTATGAGCCTTGCTGTGTGATGTGGTTTAGGGATGTAGTTATATTCTACAGCCAGTCCCACAGTATGCATGCACATCCGTGTGTCATTATCTCCAGGACAATGCAGTGTCAGAATGATTTCCACATCATATTCCCTGTGCGAGGAATTAGAAGGCATTTAGAGATGATTTAAACTACACAGTTGATGCGGGTAGGTTTCGAACAAACCCTGCACCAGGTCCATAAAGGGGACATGAGCATCTGAGGATTTGGGTTTCTCTAGCACTCGATCTATTCCTTAATTGCTGGTTTTGAATGAAAGGAAGCATGTGTACCTGCATGCGGCGTTGAATCATGAAAAGTGGTTGTGATTGCATTGTGTTTTCTCTTTTGAGGTTTCCCTCTGGGTCTTCAAATGTGTAAATGCATCATACAGTTTACTGGTGACACCCTCCATGTGTTGAGGTTGGTGTGTGTTTATCAGCTGTGGAGTCCATTATTCCATTTGGTTCTCCTTCGTGGTGCTGGGGATTGACCCCAGAGCCTTTGCACTCAGCTGCATCACTGACCTTTGCTTCTTTTGACACGATTTCTCCCTAAGTTGCCCAGGGTGGGCTTCACATCACCACCCTCCTGCCTCAGCCTCCCAGAGTGCGAGGATGACAGGCGTGTGCTGCTGCCCCTATTTGTGGTTTTCCTTGACTCGCAGCAAAGGTTTGCAGACATCCGCGTGACGTTTGCACCTGTACATCCCTCCCGAGGCCTTGGAAGATGGGCAAGCCCTAATGACGTGTTTTAATTTTTGCTTTGGTTCGAAAAGGGGTGAAGAAGTGTCGTGAGTTTTTAAGTCCTCTCTTTTGGTTCCCCTTCGTCTCCTTCTCCCTTCCTTCTGGCGCCTTTCACTTCCCTCATCCTCTTCTGGGGGAGGCCGAATCCCTCTCACCGAGGTCCGCCCTCCTGCCTTCCCCCAGGGTGATCGACGGCCGGAACTTGATGCCCCTCCTGGAGGGCAGGGCGGCCCACTCCGACCACGAGTTCCTCTTCCACTACTGCGGTGTCCACTTGCACGCTGTCCGCTGGCACCAGAGGGACTGTGAGTGGGGAGGCCTGGGTCGGGGGCCAGGAGGGCACCCAGCTGCCGTCTCCTTTTGCACCTGGGGATGGGGACATCCCAGCAGGCCCCACGGTGCCCCGAGGTGGGAGCCCTTCCCTGTCCGGGGAACAAACGGGGCACGGACGCAGGAGGTGGATGAGGGGTGCGTGTGCGTGCGCGTGTGTGAAGATGAACCGAAGGGAATTTAACTTTATGGAGGGATCGGGGGATGAGACCCCGAGGATGGGAAAGGAAGAGAGAGGGAATGAAAAAGAGAAAGGAAAGGAAAGGAAGGATGGGAAGAAAGAGAGCAAGACAGAAGGGAGGGAAGGGAGAGAAAGAAAGGGAGAAAGCAGACAAGGGAAGGAAGCAAATACAATGAAAGAAGGAGGAATGAGAAAAGGACAAAGGAGGAATGAAAGAAGCAAAGAACCAAGAAGTGCAGGAAGGCTGGAAAGCAGGAAGAAAGAAAAGGCAATCAGAGTGAGAGAGAGAGAGAGAGAGAGAGACAGACAGACACAGACAGACAGACAGAGAGGAAGATCCAGGGGAAAGTGTTCCCCTGGAGGGGAGCATTTGGGGAGCGTCTTTTCCACACCATGGGTCTTAAAACAGCTACGAGGACAGAATCACCGGCTCTGCTCTCCTTTCAGGCGCCACGGCCTGGAAGGCCCATTTTGTGACCCCCAGGCTCTCCCCGGAGGGTGCCGGGGCGTGCTACCTGAGCGGGCTGTGCGCCTGCTCCGGGGCCGTCACCCACCACGACCCGCCGCTGCTGTTCGACATCTCCAGAGACCCCGCGGAAGCCCAGGAACTGAACCCCGACAACCACCCCGCCTTCGACTCCGTGATGAAGAAGATCGGAGCGGCAGTGAGGCAGCACCGCAAGACGCTGACTCCGGTGCCACAGCAGTTGTCAGCTTTCAACGCGCTCTGGAAGCCCTGGCTGCAGCCTTGCTGTGGGACCTTCCCCTTCTGTGGGTGTGACCGAGAGGATGACATCCTGCTGGCGGCCCCGTGAGCGAATGGGGATGCTTGTTATGTGGCGCAGATGCACCGTGCTGATGACTGCAGAGTCTTCATTGGATCCATCCATTTAGAATCCAATATGGCGCCACTTCCAGGTTCCTGTGATCAACCTCAGCTCATCCCTACAACTTCTAGGAGGAGCCCAGTGCTGGGAAAGTGGTCCCAGATGAGACAGGAGCCGGGATGTTTGTTTTAATAGATCTACAATGAATCAAGTCACAGTTTTTCTTTGTCTTATTTATGAGCACATGCGCACGGGGCACAGTGAACACATTTGTTGTGTGCAGTGGGTGTGTGTACACAAGCAAACTTCATTCTTCATCTCCAATCCCTGTTCCCTCCCTGCCCCTCCTTCTATCATTGGGTTCCCACTCACTTCAAAAATATCTCTCTCCCTATTTCCTATCATCCTTCTTTTACTTTGATCTTTGCTTATACTTTGGGCTTCTCATGTAAGAGAAACCATGCAATATTTAAGCTCATGTGTCTGATTTATTTCACTTAACATTATGACCTCAGGGTGCATCCATTTTCCTACACATGCTTCGAGTATCTTCTTTATGGCAGAGTATTATTCCACTGTACATATATATCACATTTTCTTTATCCATTTACCCATTGATGAACATAGAGCTGCTTCTAGAGATTTAGCCATGACAAACTGTGCTGCCATACACATAGGTGTGCATGGATCGCTGTAATAAGATGTCTTTTTAAAAATTAATACTATTGGTACATTTTAGGTATACAGTATGCTGACATTCATCATTGGGAATTTGCACCTTTACGTGATACATCTTGGTTCTTATTTTTTCCCCATTCCCCTGCCCTCCCTTCAACCCCTCCACCGCTCCCTATTTACAAAGACTTTGTTTCCATTTTTTTCTTTTCTCATATTTATTCCTTTCCCTTCTTTCCTTTCCCCTACCCCTCCCACTTCCCCTACTCCTTTGGAGCATTTCTCCCTATTTCACATTATCGAGTACACATTTTGATCCTTATTTACACTTTCAGTTTCTCACACTAGAGAAACTATTCACTATTTACACATGTGTGTCCTATTTATTTCACTTAAGAGTATGGCCTCAATGTGCATCCATTAAGCTATAAATGTCTCTGGTTTCGCACTCTTTATGCCTGAGTAGTACCCCATTTTATTAAAAAAAAAACAAAACAATTTTTCTTTATCCAGTCTCCAGCTGATGGCTAATAGGGCTGTTTCCAAGAGGCAGGGGGTATCACAATCTCCAACTTGAAACTGTACTACAAAGCTACTGTGATAAAAACCGCATGGTACTGGCATGGAAACTGACCTGAGGACCAGTGGAACAGATTAGAAGATGCAGAAACACCTCCAGACACACTCAGCCACCTCATCTTTGACAAAGGAGCCAAACGCTCTCACTGGAGGAAAGATAGCCTCTTTAATAAATGGTGCTGGAGAAATTGGGTCTCAACTTGCCAAAGATTAAAACTAGACCTATATCTCTCACCATGCACTAAAGTAGAACCAAAATGGATTAAAGATCTAAATATTAAAACAGAAACGCTGAACCAGCTGGAAGAGAGGTTAGGTAGAACTCCTGACGACCCTGGAGTAGGGAAAGGTTTCCTGAACAAAACCTCTGTCTTGTACTCTTTTAGGAAGATCCCAGGAGAGAAATAGCTGGGTTGAACAGAACGCCTGGCTTGAGTTTTGGGGGGCATCTGACTTCCACAGAGCTTGCACTATTTTGTATCCCCACTGGCGGTGTGGAAAACTTCCTTCACAATGTTTCAGAAGCAATGTGCATTCTGCAAAGACCGTGTCCGAAATAGGAAATTTCCTGGGCTGACAATGTCTTTTCACTACGCCAGGCAGCAGTGGTCTCTGCTCATAAGTCAGGCATGCAGAAATTCATTTTCCACCCACCGTGGGTTGCTGAGAACCTCATGGTAAGTGGGAAAGCGTGGTAGATTTCAGGAAGAGAGTGCCAGGCTGCATGAATTAACCTTCCTTGGCTTCCTTTCTTTGCCTTCCTGTCCAACCTATCTGGGATTGTGGGATAAGATGCCTGCAGCCCTGTGTGCCGAATGACTGGAGAGAGGCCTGTGAGGAATCCTCGATTTCTTCCTGTGAGAGGTGGAAAACACCACTGTTTGTCTCCCAGGGTAGTTTGGAGAAAGACGAGGATTCACTCACCCAAAACTGCCTGACGTGGTTGCTGAGCTCTGAATAAAAATTGTCATTCTAACAGTGCTGCTGCTTCGTGTGTGGTCGGGGGTACTTAATGTTGGACCCCGGAAGACCGAATACCAATCATCGATATTTAAAGAAAAAGAGAGGAAAATGGCTGAAACAATATTTAAGGGAAGGTTTTCCACAAACACACAGAGAAAGTAATTCCAAGATGGCTAAGCAAAAATAAATTTGTATCTGAAAAACACAGTGACTATAAGGCTTCGGAACACAATGAAAAAAATCTTTGGTGTAGTGAGATGGGGGAAGTTGGAGAAATATTAAAATAAATGCAGAGTTAAAAAGGCCACAATGGATACCGACAGAAGATTGAACAATCTCTCCTGATTGTCAAAAGACCACTGCGAACTCAAAGTCATGTACCTAACCCAGTGACGTTGATGAAATTTTTTAAAATGCAGAAAAAAGTATTTTAAAAAGAGTACATACTTCCGCCCATCACCAGAGTGACATGTAGTTGAAGGGATTTCCCAGAAGATAAATCAATACCAGAAAGGGAAAAATGTCATTTGGAGTAAAATGGTTAATACCCTTAAAACTGGTGAGAACGATAGCATTTTTTTTTTTGGTATGCATTGTACCGCACTTAAAAATTGTACAAGCCGAGAGTATTAGTGCACGCCTGTAATCCCAGCACCTTGGGAAGCCGAAGCAGGAGGGTTATAAATTTGAGCCCAGCCTGGGCAACTTAGTGACTTAGCAAAAGGTGATAAGTAAATAAATGAATAAGTAGTAAAACAACATTAGATTGTAGTGGAGAAGGATCTCAGGGAGTACAGGACGACTGGGGATCTTTCACCGGCCTCTTTCTCTGAAGAGTCAACTGTGGAAATCACAGCAGCGCAGTAATAAGTTTTTAAGGGGTCTCTTACGGAATCCAGTTACCCTGTCTAGATTTTTATTTATTTTTAAAATCCACCTAGAGATTAGGAAGCATGTAGCTGGGTTTTCCTCCTGCCTCCTTCTCCTAATTGTAGGGATCTTGTGATTCCTCTTGGGTGGCCCCGGGTCGAGATGAACCCGGATTAGAAGGCAGATCCACTGCCGAAGCAGTAAGAACACACCCCGGGCCTGGAGAAGGCCGTCTCTGCCTCAGTGCCGGACACTGACTCTGTGTTTGTGGGGAGACACGGGTTCGAGTCTGGGGCTCTGAGATCTCTGAAATGTTCCTGTGAATCGCGATTCCTGCTTCTGGTGCTGATTCTTGACAAGCTGGACGTAGTTAGTTGGTAGTTAGTTGGGAAGGCTTTCTTTCTAACATCTGTGTCCCGTCTCTGCGTATTCTCTTGGACTCAGGGATACAGACAGCTGTGGAATTGGCAATACGCATTTCCCTCGGCTGCAGCACTCCACAGGTGTGGTTTTGTGAACTTTGTTTCTCTGGGCTGGCTCATTTTGGGCAAGAAGAGCATTGAGTGTCCAGCTCTTGTATTTTAGAAAAGTCACCTTGCTCCCACTTCTTGGAATAGCTAAACTTTGGAAGTGGCCGAGATGCCCATCAACAGATGGATGGTTAAGAAACTGTGGTGTTTGCACACAGTGGAGTACTACTCTGCCACGAAGAAGGATAAACTGGAGTTATTTGTAGGAAGATGGATGCAGCTGGAGACCATGATGCTAAGTGAAGTAAATCAGATACACATGCTCCAATATTACATGGTTTCTCTTACGTGAGAAACAAAAAGTGTAAATCAATAAAGAGCCAAATTAAAAATTGATAACAGGAAGTAGAGAGATTGATCTTTCTCAAGTGGGAAGGGGACTAAAAGATGGGGGCAGGGAGCAAAAAGGGATGAAAAGAAACCAGGTGAATCCTCAAACTTCCTTGATGACCTTGAAGACCACAGCACTCTAGTGCTGCGCCACACGGTGCTGTATTGTACTTCACGACACACACACCTTTCGGTCTCTGGCGACCACACAGAGAATTTTGCCATTGCTTGATTGATTGACTGATTTATTGCTTGTGGTAGTGCCGATGGAACACATGTCCATTACAGTGAGCTACATCCCTGTCCTCATCACCCCTTTTTAAGAGATTTTTATTTTGAGGCCAGGACTTGCTAAGTTGCCCAGGCAAGGCTTGAATTTGCAATCCTCCTTCCTCAGCCTCCCAGAGTGCTGGGCTTCCAGGGTGTGTCATCATGCCTGGCTGGACTTTGCAAGTTGTATCTTCCTTATAAACTTGTTTCTTGCTCCCTCCCTCTCTCTCTCTCTCTATATATATATACATATATATTTGCTTATATTTGTATGTATGCGTGTACAAATATGCAGAATTATAGGAGTTCCCCACCCCTGACCTACAGGTGTTGCATTCCAAGACATCTGGGGAATTCCCAGAGTGGTGAATGATATTAACATCTGTACATATTTCTATTAATGCTTTACATACGTACGTATGATAAGCCTTGATTTCTGAATTAGGTCCAGCAAAAGACTAACAATGAATGATAAACTATAGCAATTGTAAGAATAAACTCACGTAAAAGAGATACGAATTGCTTATTCCTAAGAGCGTCCTTTGAATTTTTTTTTCTGGGTGCGTCTTGCTATGTAGCAATTCAGGCTGGCCTTGAACTTATGGCGATCCTCCTGGCTCAGCCTCCTGTATATGAGTGTTGGGTTGATAGGTGTGTGCCACCACATAGGGATACTTTCCATTTAATATTTTTTGAGCTGTAACTGACTGGAGGGGCAGTAAGTAAAGTACTCTATCCACTCAGGCTGCACACTCTGTCCCTGCCTGCATA